AACATTTAAATTGCTTGCCAGTGCGTCAAAGCTCAAGCTAAAGTTGACATCTAACCTGAAGGTACTATAATCTCAACGACGGGCACGAACAGTTAAAATATTTATGTAATTAAAGCAAGATTCTGGTTACGTGGCCTTGACTCTTACATTCTAACGTGTTAATTAAGAAATGTCATGCTCTTATTAAGTCGAAATGTTCCTTCATCCCCGAATACGAAAAGTTCAAAATGGCTTTATCTGAGTGGAGATGTCTCACATTCCCAAACAATATGCCTGACAACAAAGAGAGCAAACAGAAAAAGAAAAAAAAAAAACGAATCAAATCACTTTCGATCATTGTGGAATTCGATTTCCGCCTTTTCGTTCTTTGTCTTGTGGGTATTAAATTCTCCTTGACTTAACTCTAAATTTAAGAAAGGAATAAAACAAAGTTTACAATTGCTGTGCATGTAAGCTTTATACATCATCCAGATGTGTGTAGATGCCTAAGCCCATGTAAATACCAAATGTGATCCAAATGTATTGCTTCAACGTTTATCTCTTTCGACCATACTGGATTCACTAACTATATATAATATATTAAGTAAATTCGAAATATATAGAAAGTATTTACTAAAATAAGAGCACATATTATTCAATCGAAAATAAAAGAAAGATTTTGTCTTCTGTCAGACGGGCTCGAACCCTTAATGATGACAACAAATCAATCAAATCAAAATGAAATCTTTATCGTTAACTCCAATTAGTTTGCTTATTAATATTGCTTTTTTGTTCGCGAATAATAATCAATTAAATAAACAAATATATAAATTTACAATTACTGTTGAGGTTAAACCAGCAAGCACGCGCTAGTTAGTCCGATGCTCAACCACAATTATATGGTTGCGTTGCTTTTTATGTTTTTCATGCAAACTTTGACCGCCGGCTTGCCTGAATTTTTAAAATCACGTCTTAGTGCTCACTTACGACACAAAAGGAAGCTTTAACGTTTTGGTCTGTGACAAACTCAATTCTATACATATTTATATATATATAGATAGATAGATAGTAAGCTGAAGACAAAGTTTTGCAACTTGACAAACATGTGTTGTTGCCTTAATTTTGAAGCCACAAGCGATATACCATATAAAGGTGTTTCCAGGCAAGTAAAGCACAACAACTGGGAAACTAAGTAGTTTTTGTTAATATTCAAAATGCGGTAGCAACATCATCATCATTATTATCAGCTGAGGGGATGGGACAAAGTTTGGCAAAGCCAAGCCACAAATATGATTCTGTCATTGATAATGAGACCAACAATGGGCCACAGTAGCATAGTGTACATTGTGCAGGATGGGAATGCATGGGGACCACGATTTTGGCAATGAACAAAAGTTTGGACTAGTTTGATTTTAATTACCAAAATTGCATTCAATGGCATAGTATATTTCATTCACCTGCTGCCCACTGATGATGACGATAATGATGACGCTGACGATAATGACAGGTAGCGTTGCTAGCCAGGTGGCTAACTGTTTGTTGTTGACAGAACTTATTTATTAACATTATTGAGGCGTTGCGGCGTTCTGTCATATAAACTACTTACTACTCGCTTCAGTGCTAAAAGCTGGTATTACTCAAACACCTTACACTCTTACTTCCTCCGTCCACGCTCTTAGCTGTTCCATCTCTTTACCCTCTTTACCCCATTTCCAGTGTTGTTCTCTAATCGATTTTTGATGAGATTTTTGTATTCAATTTTGGTTTTGATAGGCAACGAACGCATCAACTTTATCTCCCTCGCTTTCTCTCTCTCTCTCTCTCTCGCCTCTTTTCTCCCCCTTACTATCCATATTCCTAAATTTGATTGCTTGGCAAGTCGAAAAATATCTGGCGATAATAGCGACAACGAAACGACCAGGACTTCGACGCCGTTGACATAATTTTGCACGGTTTTGTTTGGGCGATTGGCATGCCGTAGACAAATGTTTGGAGTATTCACATGGCTGACAGTGGTAAATGTGGAGGGACCCCATCCCACTTCATCCCACCGTACCGAAGCATGCTACATGAGAAAAACTGTTGGAATTTCGCTGGCATTTTTGTTTGGTTTCCATTTTCTGAGCTGTTTGATTCTCATACTTAGTTGTTGCTCGCTGTGAAAGTTCGTACAATTGGGCTAAGGCTATGCAGCAGTTACCTTTCGTCTTGGGTGGATATGTGTGTGTGTGCTTATGTGTGGGTATCTGTGTGTGTGTATTAGCGGCTTTTGCACTGCCTTAGACACTTAACGACTACGAGTATTGAGGCAGTTAACCTAGTCAAAGCAATGCCATCTAAAATCATAGCCAGACCACAATTTCGAAAGTTGATAGTTAGCTGCCATGTACATATAAAATATATATAAAGCCGTTTGTAATGACTAACTGACAGACTAACTGACAGACTGACTGGCTGATGATCAACGCATAGCCATTGATTGCAGATTTGAAGAGCTCTACCCGCAAGTATGGAAAATTGTTCGAAAATGGATTAGTTTACCTTCCGATCGGTTTTTAACTCGTCTGTAATGAAAATCCAAGTCCTTATCGGTGGAAAGAAGAGTTTAAGCAGTGGAATGCATGTTCTATATTCGGCCTATTGGCTTCAAATTCATTTTAATTCTAGCTCTAGTTTAATATAGAGCTGCTATTTGAATGTTTTAATGATTTCGGAAAGAAAGTGTTGATTGCAGTAAATGGCGCCGAGGATGCCGGGTAATACCCGCTAGTATTATTCTGTCTGTGATGGAAAGCAATGAAAATCTGATAGTGGTAAACTAACGTTTGTAACATTGATAGCTACTTCTGCGACTCTATGGGTCCGGATAAGCTCTGGTATTTAGCGAGCTGTGTTTAAGCCAGAGTTTTTATAGCCTGGCCACTGGCACAGCTAGTGCACAAAAAGAGGATAGTTGGGTGCTGCTGTCCCAGTTGCTGGCCATTTGGCTGACACTAGTGCATGCCACATCAGTCGCATGCCAAGGGCACTTTGAATGCTTACAAAATCACAGGAGCTGTACAAGGCGCACCTGTCGCACCTGCTGCCCTGAGGCGCCCCCCAACCCATAGTGAAATTGGCAATTTCGTTTTCATTCAACGCTGACGAAATGCATTTCCTGAAATGAATGGCGACAGCCATTCGCCGGAAAGCCGGCGAAACGAAGGAAGTGCACAGTGCACGGCTGACACAGAAAACAACTGGACCATGGCAGGTGGAGATGGCTCGTCTTCTGGTTTCAGGAATTCAAGAACCTGCTGCCTGTAGCGCAAAGCTGCTGCCACTTTCTGGCTCTGGCCCAGTGTCCGGCTCTTATTGAGCAGCTGAAAAATGTCAAACGTTGATGCAAGGACGTCGGGAAGTGCAGCATGGTCAATGAGCCAGGCACCCAGCTGTAGCATGGACTCTGCTCAGAACAACTAAAGTATGTCTGTTGTATATATATATATATATATGTGCACTTGTAAATGTATATGTATTGTTGGCTTAAGCAGCGGCAGGTGCATCTGTCGCTTCCACTCAGGGCCAACATATGCTCAAGCTTTATATGGCTCAGTGGTAATGGTAAAGCTGCCAAGATGGAGCGAGACATATTCATGTGAGGGCGGGCAACGGGCAGCGGGCGGCGGGCGGCAGCTTATGGCATGACTTTATGGCATATGCATGTGGACAGACAGCAGTTACTGTTAACTGATGCTGCCCTGCGCTTATGATTAAGACATCCAGTTAATGCCCCTGAACTGAAGCTAGAGCTTGGAGCACTTTTAATTTTCGTTTGGTCGTCAGCTGGCAACTGAGAGTCACATTTGCCAGCAAAATGAAACACAAATATTTAAGTTGAATTTTACGTTTCAATTTCCTTGCTGTCATGGTAGCTGTATGTGTCTGGTAAATGTGATCTTGAAACTATGCCACCTGCTAAATATTGGATTTGGAAATAGAAACAGAGTTGTCATCTTTGCAACCGTTGTACATTTGCATATTTACTAGACTTTTATAGTGGGTAAGTGTGTTGGGCGCTTGTGTCCGCAATCGAAAATCAGTGTAAATAACATTTGGAGTACGGAATCGTTTCAACGACAGAGACCATGTAATTAGATCTATTAGAATACCTGCCCAAATATTCGACACTTAACCAATACAATTTCACTTCTAGGAATGACACTTTGACAAATATCTCATATCAATCAGAAAATCGACGGCATATTATATTTTATCTTTACGCGCAGATCAGATTACATCTGATAAGCTTCTACATTTTAACTCTGACTTTGGCTTGACATAAATGTAGAATTGTCTGTCATGGTGTACTAGATGGATCTTCGAACTTCGAACAGAACTTCGGATGATCACAATATCCTATCATTGAGAGCTGGAAGTTGCCTGAATTGCGCCTCGCGTTGCCCATTTATTTGCCAGGAAGCATTATAGCTCTCTGAATGTCCTTCGGTTTTTATGTAATTAGATGCATTCTATATTTACCCCACACTGCAATCTAGTTTCTATTCGGTCTGCTCGACCCTCGTGACCGGTGTGACCCCGATATTTAGGCAAAAAGTTGCCGGACTGTCTCTTTCCCGCCCCCAGCGAACTGCGTGCTACTACAATACAAAGTCTAAGTCGAAATGCCCAACTCCATATCCCTGCCGCCGTCCCCACTAAGCTCATCTTTTCTATGCTTTCCACTTAAAACTTGGCAAAATTTTGCTGCACACAAATTGCAAATAGAAAATGCAAATTTGAATTGAAATCCAAATCCAAATTCCGTATCCGCATTCAAATGATCAAGAAATCCTCTTTATTTTTTCTTCATTTCGATTTCTTTTTTGCATGCACTTGCCATTTGTGTTCTTGGCCTAACTGCTTCTTCGTTTTTGTTTGTAGGAGTGGGTGCGACTTTTCAACTTTTGCTTTAGTCGTATCCTTGGGATACTCACTTAGCCGGCTGCCAAACTTATTTTCATATTTGTTGGACTACTTACCAAAAGTATTTGAATTACAACATGAAACAAATCGATGGCGTAGACACCTGCAATAAGAGAAAAGAGAGTGGGGGAGAGGGAGGAAAGAAAAAAACTATTAGTTAATTTTTTTGACAGTCAGGTTGTGAGTTCATTAGCTATGGGGTGCCCGACATCCAGCCTACCCTCACTCCGAACATTTTGCTATTAATGATGCAACTGACAAAGTATGCAGCTCCACCTGAGCTGCTTACACTAATTAAGTACAGTTTAGGCAGCAACTGGCGTTTCCAAACAAAAAAAAAAAAAAATACTGAGGAACAATTAATGGCAACGGCACGAGGTATGACAAATGTAAATGGGAATGGTAACTGAACATGGAAGGACCACGTCAAAGTCCTGCCAAGGCACAATCACGTAAAACATTAAGGCATTGCCTCACGGTGTACACAAAACACTTAATCCGCTTACTAAGTATGCCCTGTACCCAAATAGAAAGGCTAGACAAGATTTGCCCTTATCTTACCCATACCCATATTGACTAGAATACGAATTACATACAAAGATCATATACTCTTGAACTGTGATTCAAATTTAGTACACTTAAAAGAGAACTAAAATCAGTTTTAGTAAACGCTACTAATAGTTTTTATATGTTATTGTTATATAATGACAACAGGATTGCAATACTCTAGTACAATATTTCAAAGTTTGTTGGTCAATATCACATAAAGCTTAAACTGGTTAAAGGAAAATATGTGAGAGTGCTCTTGAGAGGAGTACCTGACTTGGAGATACACTAAGCCAAATGTATTCTCAAATAGCGTCGGTGTTTGCTGTCCGATCTACTTATATCAAATTTTCAGGTGTCAAATGTAGCACTAAAAGGTGTGCATATGTCGCCAGACTCTACTTTCAAATATGAGACTTATTCCATTTTAGAAGGCAACGGGGGAGGTATCTAAGAAACGAACGATTTTATATCTGTATATACAAATTTTGCTGTACCAAACTACTGTAGCTTTCGAGTTAAATCGATTAAATCCATTCTTATCGATATTATCAGAATGTTTGTTGGTATTGAAAAGACAAATGATGTGCACATATTGCGTATGGTATATAGAGAGGGACGCGTTCAGGCAGGTGGTAAGAGGATATAGCTATTTCAACTTAGCTCGTCATCCTGATGACGAATATGTGCACTTTATGGGGTCGGAGATATTTTGTTCCGCCTGTTTCCACAATAACTGAATACCCTTTTTGAACCATTTTTAGTGTGTTAAGGGCATAAAATAAACTTTCTAAAATGAAATGAAGAGTATACATAACTGTTAAGTGGTTCAGCTTAGTTCAAACTAAATTTATCTTGGCTCTTTATAATTTTCTAGAGAGCACTGAATAAAAATGGAACAGCACATTTAAATATTTACATTGTGTCAAACCGGAAAAAAAATACGTTTCACTTAGTCCTGCCCAAGTTGGCATCCGTGCACGTCAAACCTTCGACTAGGCGAATATTGTTTGAAGGGGAAAAGGCAAAGAAAACAATTAAAAGAATTTATTGCTCGAGTTTAATGAATTTTCAGCTTGTTTGCATGCATACTATGGGGTTGATGGGGGTTGGGCGGTTTGGCAACTGGAGTGGGTGTGGCAACATGGGAGTGGAAAGACAGGTGCAGAGTTGCCAACGCAGCAATTTTGATGAGCGAATGAGAAACGAAGCGCCACAGGTGTAAAGCGAATATAAATCTTCGGGCTTAGATGTGTGTATAGATGCCGGTGTGTGTGTGTGTGTGTGTGTGATGAGAGTGAAAATAACTGTTATTGTTACATTGTTTAATGAAGTTTTTCCCTCTTTTTCCATTTCTTGTTTTTTAATTTGAACGCAGCTGTTTGCCTTAAATTCATGCTCCGAACCTGACGATGAATTGCCCAAATATGCAAAACGTTTCAAAAACCATTTAAGTGTTTTATGAAACGCTTTTGTTTTCCCAAACCCACCAACTGCCTCCCGCGAGAATTCGTTTCCATTTCGGCCAATAAAGGTGCAAATTCACTACTTGATGGCTTAAAACTGAATAAGCCCAAACGGTGATAAGTCCAAAGTATCAGTCCAAAGAGACTGGGTCCGGTATGGGCCCGGTATGTGTCTCTTGGACTTAATACTAACAGCGAAATGAATGTATTATTTTCTGTTTATCAGAAGAATTTTGTGATCCTTAAATTTGTGGAATCTGGCTTTTGAGTCAGAAGTGAGCACTAAGACGGGGTTATGGAAAATTCAACTTCTAACTTAGACTAACTCTGGCTAACGTTTGTAAATATAAGTAGTATAAGTGGGCTTCAAATGTCACGACATAAGCCTGAGTGGTTTAGTTGTCGTCGGACTAACATGAGGGAGGTCACCGCTTCAAATCTAGCAGAAATTTGTAATACTCATACTCGTTTATGAATGAAATGAATGGAAATGAAACCAATGACAACAAATGTATACCAAACATGAGCAACTCTCCTTTTTTTTAATGTCTGTAGTTGGCGGGAATTGCACAAACAATTTCCGTACTGCTTCCATTTCCAACATTATTCATTGCACCCGGGCAAAGCCGGTTAATTTCTTTTCGTATATACACACACACCTTATTTTGAAGGTCAGATATATTTGTTGACTGATAATGCCTCTCCCACAGCACAAGCTGATAGCTGTTGTGGGTGTTCCAGGGTTTATTTGGCCTCTCAGAGCCATAATTCGATTTGGGGGAGATGTTGTGTTATGTTGAAGTTGCCGTCTTATGCTGGCCGACTGATAAACACGTTTTGCCTGGGACTTCATGCATACATTAAGGCGTCGATGCCTGAACAAACTTCGATAGCCCGGCAAAGGCAAGCAAACAAGTCGAGCCGGGGCAAAGTCATGTGCACCACCACCAGTTGGCACCAGATGGTGGCGGCCAGCGATTGCAGCGATTACTCCGAGCTGTCAGCAAGTACCAATTGCTGTGGTAGCCCGTGCGCTCACGGCTCAGCGATTTCGGGACTCGCAAATCGAAAGCAGAATGCCAATTTTTCTAGTTTTACAAATTTGTTCAAATGAATATTTAATACTGGCGAGGGGACGGGGGAGGCTGCTTGGTGAGGTGGGTGAGGCGGGTGAGACTCTAGCCATGCACTTGGCTGGTCATCAATTGCGAAATTCTAGCTGGCCAATGGTCGCAGTGCTGGCAGTGCCAAAGATTTGCCAAGATTTACGAGCCAAAAGCCAAAGCTATTGGCAAAACCTTGGCAAATTTGGCAAATTGACTTTTGCCGCTGGCCAAGGCGACATATTTTGGCCAGCTGAGCCAGCAATTGCCATGCAACACTTTGTGGCAGCAACATCGGCAGCAGCAGCAGCGGCTTACAGCTGCAGCAGCTTATCCGGTCCATAAATTAACAACTTGATTATGTCGAACCAAGCGCAACAGCAGCAGTTGATCATAATGATGATGATGCTGATGATGATAGCCAGGAGTGGACTGCGCTTAAGAACGCATTCCGCTTGGGGCATCCTTTGTGGCTGGCAAATTGGGATTGCTGCTGCCAGGACATAACAAAATTAAAATATTGCGCACAAGGACAATGCGTACTCTACCCAAAGCAGCTGCCAGGGCTCAGCTGGTGAAGGGCAAAGAAGCGGAGTCAGATTCACAGTCTCGGATCGTGGTCGGGCTGAGGCGAGGACTCGGGCCCGGTTGGGCCTGGGATTGGGTTTGGTTTTGGGTTGGACTTTGTGGTTGCCAGTTATCAACAGTTATCATAGCAATGGTGCAAAATGAAAATGAAAAATGACACACAGAATTTATCAAACATCCGCTTCCGACAAACAAGCGACCAGGCATCAGACATCAGGCAACAGGCAGTAACTACAAACAGGATAAGGAATAAACTAAAGCTTCATGTCGCATCCAATTGGCCGGAAAGTCGGCAGCTAGCAGAGACTCAACCTTGGCGCAGGCAGAAGCAAAGCCCAACAAGAACACGGAAAAAACAAAATTAAAATAAATTGTTCATTAAAATAAATTGTCGAGTGCAAAGGGCTCTGGATTTGCGTATAAGTCGGTGTGCTGTGGAAATGTGAGAGATAAGCTCAGCGGACTTGGAACAGACCCATTGACACGACAGACAGCAAATCCTTTGGCAGTGCAATAAACGATTCCCACATTGGAGCTGAATACTTGGAATTGGGTCCCGGCAGCCTGGATTTTGTGTTAATATAAAAGAACTTTAATCAAAGAACTTCCAGGAAGGAAAAGAAAACTTTGAAGTGGTTGATCAAAAAATAAAAAATGGACCGTGAACAAATAGGTGTTCGTCTTGGTCGAGATTTTAAACCTGGCTTTCAAAGAGTTTCTAAAATAAGCTTAATTTACACTTTTGCGTTGAATGAGCTTCCCACTTACTTGGGCTGAAATCAGGAATTGTGGGACACATGCACTAGATACAGGGAAATCAATTGTACTGCAACTCTTGCTGGCAATGCAAACCTGGTTTCTCCATAATTAAATCAATTGAATGTTAAGAAATATGTTTTACTGTAATTTCAATGCATGTCACATGATTAGAGCAAAAAGACAATGGAAAACAACAACAAAATGGGGGACAACTGGCGATTGGCGCTAACATTTGCCCAGCTGCTGGAGGAGCCAGAGTGAGACGCATGTGGCATATGAATGACGGGCAGACCGACTTGCAGCAGCCATGAGCTCAAGTCAACTGGAATTGCATAAACCGATAAAAGTAGTTGTTTTTGTTGTTCTTGCTGCTGGAGAGCAAGTGAGAATGCACCATTAGTGCAGGAAGCCAACAACCAACAACGCGACACTGGGATAACCAACTGCAAAATGGGAATAGCAGTCAGCCTGGGGAGCCAGGAGCTGAAGCGGCAGAGAAATAGGAAGAGCGAGGGAATGAAGGAGTCAACCACAAGAGTCAGGCGCATACATGTATAGAGAATTACCGCAAGCAGCATTTTGCAAGCTGCAAGCGGCAGTTCAGCCGGCAGCTAAGCCGCAACGCAACGCAAGCGTAACCATGTGGCAAATGAGGCTAAAACACAAGTGTCGCCATCATCGCCATCGTCGAGTGGCAGTGATGGATAAACCCAAGCAGACTGCCAGCCAGCCAGCCAGCTAGCCAGCCGGCAAGCCAGAGGAGTGCCCCATCATATAAATGTCCAATGCAATTGATATTAACGCTTAGAAAAGTCCTCGACTTAACCCGCAATGCATTTGATTCAGGATCGATAGAGTACATGTGGTTTTCGTCGGGTTGATTGAATAAAGCGATATTATATATATATTTTATACATATTTATTTTACATCATTTTATGCCCTGCTCCCATTCGAAATGAGTAAAGAGAGTATTAGATAAGAGAGTTGAGTATAAGAATAGTGAATTTATCAGACAGAAGGAAGCATCTCCGTCCCTATAAAATATATACTATACATATATATATATATATATATATATATATATATATATATATATATTCTCGGTCAGCAGCAACACGTAGTTGATCTGGAACACGCCGATCTTTGAACCCATCAGAGCTAAAGACTTGCAATATCCTAGTGTCTGCGCAGTATGAGATTTTTTCAAATTATCGATAACTTGGCCCGATTCCAGGCATACGATAGTCAATGATATCGGTATCCTGTTAATTAGTATACCTCTTCGGTTTTAGGATCTAGCTCGTAACCAAATTAGACATGTAGCTTCTCGTATAGTATACATAGATAAGATCTATTTACTACTTAAACACCCTTGCTTATTTAACAATTCATAAGGATAAAGAAGTTATACAATTTTGTAGAAGTTGTAACTTGTAGATTTGTCTTCATTTAGGTTTTGTGTTTATATTAAGTACATATTGTATATTTATATAAAAGACATTGTATACTCGATGAGCTCCAAATCGACTAGAGGATCTGTCTTATGTGTAATGTAGGCAAATTTAATGATAGTATGCACATCTATTCTTAGATGGTATTTCCTTTGGTTTGCACCCCGAGGGGCGGATTTTGCGAAAAGTGTGAAATGGATTTTCACAAAGATCTGTAACTTCGAAATTGAAGTGTATTTTATGGGTAGACCTAATCTGACCTAACTGTATATAAATTGCTTTTAACTTCATGTATATTCGAAATATAAAACAATTTTCTGTTGTTGTCCCTAACACAAAGCACAGCAAAATCTCAGTTGACAGTCGAGGATACTTTATTTTCATTACACATACAGTTAGCTATGGCAAGAGTACCATATACCTGGCGTCAGCCACCGTATCCTGGCGATGAGAGCGACAAGCGCTGGATAGATCCCAGCATGATCATTTTGTGCCAGGATGGGGACATTGATACCGCAATTGGACCACTTTTGCGTACACTGTATGAGCCAATCGGTAAGGGACTAATTGGCGCCGTCTTTGTGCACGAGACAATGCGGGAGCAGTTGATAGAGAAGGTGCGCGAGAGGATGACTGTGATGCATCGTCAGGTGAAGAGCCACGCTCTCTATGCCAGGGCGCTGCAACGAGCAAAGTGCCTGGGTGCCGAGCTGGTGTCCATGATGAAGCCGGACGACATTGGATTCGAATACAGTATGGTCGAGGGCTCACCCATACTCGTGTGCGACTTTAATCAAAGCTACTTCAGCGTTAACCATCCCAGCACCGTGGTTACCCTGCATACGTTTCGTCACAGCCAGGAGCTGGCCGAACTGACTGCCAAGGAGCAGCTGCCATTTGTCAGCGCTGCCATCTGGTGCCCCAAAATGGCGGCTGCCTACGAGGTAGCTCTGCTTCTGAACGTGCCGACCGTCTATATCAACTGCGAGGGCGTCAGTCTCATTCCCATAGTCGAAAAGCATCAGGCCCTGCAGCCATATGCGCTGCTCATTGCCAATCATCATTATGAGGTGGTGGTGCAACATGGTCACGCCAAGACCATTGTGTTTCCGGCGCCGGTTGACCTGCGCTCAAAATCGTAGCAGTTGAGCCCAACGAAAGGCTCATCAGACCCATCAGCCAGGATGCTCTTCATCAGTGACTTTATTTTTAATCTGTCTTATATGTCTTAAGGGTTCTTTTTAAGCATATGAATGCAATGCGCACATTGACAAAATAACACATTGAACTCTATATTTTCTCTCTAGGTGCTTCTCAAGCTACATTGTCTTAAGAGGCAAGAGGCTAATGGAATTGGACGCCTAAGTAACTTTTTACACCTCTCTCGCAATTTACACCTCTCTCGATGCTTCCCAAGAAGCTTTCTCTCGGAAGACTCATGAAACCAGACGACCAGGATTACCCGGTTGAATGATATTTTTAAAGCAAATCTCAAGTTTTTTCCTCTAGAGCCTCTCTCGGTGCTTCTCAGGTGGCTTGTAAAGTAATAATAAAGCAAGTGTATTCAGCAGCGCTTTGAATGGGTGCCCTCCACCTTTAACTTATTCACCTGCTGCTGAATTTTCCCAGCTTTCTCCTGGCTTAGCATTAGTCACGAATGGGAACTGCCAAACTGTCATCCATGGCTGCGATTTTCACAATGAGTTCTACTTAACTTTCGCGTCACTTAAATGTAATTTGTAAACTTTTCGGGGCAGCCTGTGTGTGAGTGTGTGTATGCTTGTGTGTAGGTGCTTGTTGTTGCTGCTTGTTCGATTGTATTTGCTGTTGTGGCGTTCGCCAGCCGAGTTCCCCTTGTTTTGCCACTTTTAAAGTGCATTTTGCTGTAATCAAGCGCCTACTTGAATGCGCCCGTCTCCCTCCAACGCCACGCCCAGCTGCAGCAGCCTTTTGGAGTTTATTTGTTGTTGTAATGCTTATTGTGCTTTCATGCTTTTTAGCATTTCATCATTTGTTGCAAGTTTAACCACGCCCCGGACTACTGACCTGGCTCCCCGCCCTCTCTTTGAACGTCAAACTTTATGCATTTCGATTTGCGTGTGTGTGTGTGTGTGTGCACAGTTCGTATGCCGTTGTTTTGGCCTCTTGATGCAATGGCATGTGGCAGCTTTTGTTTTTGGTTGGCAGCTACCTCTCAACCCGCTTGGCCCGCTCGGCCCGCTCGACCCGCTTAGCCAATAGCAAAGCAACCCAACCACCCAGGCGCCTTGTTTGCCATCCCGTTGTTGAGTGGCCTTTTAATGCAGCCGCTTAGCGCGTGTTGCACTTGTCTCGAGTTGAGTTCAGTTGTTGTTGCTACTGCTGCTGCTGGCAACAGTATATTTTATTTATTTAGGGTCTGTTGCGCTGTTGTTGACCCAGTTGACGCTTCGCCCGTGTACTGACCCAATTTTTTAGGCACTCCCCCTTCTGACTTTGTTTTGGTATGTAAGGAAAAGTTATGCGAAAATACCAGCTGAGTTGAGATTAGATTGCAACACCCAGCCAATTTTAAATGGATGCAGGCAAAGATACGACGAGTGTGTCCACCATAAGTCAGGAGTAGTTATTTTGGCATTATCTAAGCACCTATAAATAAGTTAATAAGAAATCTATACTCATGATCAGTATTTTTCCAGTGACATACCTTTCCTGTTTAAACTGAAGACTGACTCAGTGATTGGGTGACTGACACAATGGCTGGCTATCTGACTGAGCGATTAAATGGGTGAATAGCTGACAGATTGACAAACTCATTGTCTGAAGGTCTGAATAGCTGACTGACTGAATGACTGTCTTATTGATCGGGCGGCTGGCTGACTTACAAGAGTTACAATAAAGATAATTTATACTTTATTTATGAAAGTGCACAAGTGCAAGACGGGGATAAATTTTGGATAAATTCAGCCACAAGTGTAGTGTAAATTTAAGAAAAACTTTTGTTTGAAACATTTTCAATTACTATCCATTTGGCTCTTTTTAGCTCCTTTTCAAAGATCTTCGTAAAAATGCAATGGAGAGATTGCTTTTATGCTTTACCGACTTCGTAAAATCAATCCAAAAGTCGTAAATTGCGAAGATAACTTTCAAAGATATATGTAAAATTACAAAACCGACTTTTTACAATTTTGGGAAATCCAGTTCTTCTGCATAATTAATTTTTTTTCCCCCATACATTTTTTTTCAGACTGTGCTTTTTAACTCTCACATCCGCTGTCGATTTAAAAACGTTTTTTTCTGTTATATTCTATCAGATATTATTACACTGTTTTTAAAAGATTTTTTTCCACCCGTAATAAACAAATGTAAATTGGATAAATGTTAGTTAAAATATGATTTTTTTGTTTTTGCGAGAGGATGCATAATTAATAATAATACCAATGTAATTTAATTAAAGCAATTTATGAGTGCTAAAAGAGTAGCTTTCATAAATTATGTAATTGAGAAAAAAAGTATATTTATATATTTGCCATATAAAAAAGCAAATGTGACTTGATTAATTGTTTGCAATACCAACTAAATTTCCGTTTCCAGTGGCCACAAAGTATGCGTTGAATCAGGCGCTCAGCTCCCAAAAGCCCTTAGGCAAAGCTTCTATGGCAATTACAACAACTCAGATAATGCTTATTGTCAGTGCCATACAAAAGGCAAGCCGGGAGAGGGGTGTGGGCGCATGGGGCGGGCGGATCACTGATTGAGGGGGAAACAACGCCAACAAGTTGTCCGCATCTGAAGGTGGCCAACTGGCAGCTGCTAGTCGAGCTGAGCTGAGCTTTGCTTCAATTATGCTTCATTGTGCTAGTGCTGACAAAAGCCTGAAAAGGGACAGTAACGAAGAAAAGGAAGAATGCAGCCAGGAGATGAGCTCATCCTGCGCCTGAACCTATGCAACGAAATTTTTATTCGCGTCCATGTTGCATTGTGTGGCGGCGTTTAAATTCTGCCAAAGGCTGAGGCTGCTTTTGCTGCTGCTACTGCTGCTGTTGCTGGTGAGGCAGACATTGGCAAAGGTTGGTTCCCTGTGGCAGCTGCCTTCATTTCAAGCGGAAGTTTGCACACTTTTGCCTATGAAACTGCGGCGAGTGGATGCACCGCACAGCCCCCACATTGCCAATGGAGCTGAGCCGAACTAAACTGAGGCAAGCTGAGATAGAGGCAGCTCCTGAGGAAAACACAAAAAAACAACGCTTGACAAACAGTCCAGCAGCCAGCTGCCGCGCACCTATTGCTCATCACTTGCGCTTCAATAGCTTTTCACTTGGCCCGATCAGACCGGCCAGAGGAGCAGCTGTAGTTGAAGGGCAGCCAGCCAGCAGGAAGGTGTTGTTGCCGCTGTTGTAGGGAAACACTATAAATATAATGGCAACAACAATGAGTAGCTGTTGCTGCCACCGTTGACGTGGCTGCCATGTTGCAAAAGTAATTCAATTTGACTTTTTGTTTTGATGCTGCCGCTGCAATAGCAACAACTTGCAGCAACAGAGCACGCAACAGCCGTTTCCAGGCCAACTTTTGAGTTAAATGTGGGCGTGGCTAACGACGATACCACGAAATGCCAGCGGCCAGCAGAGCCCAGCGCGTCAATTGATTTAGTTCTTGAGTTATTACCCAGCATCCAGCTCGCTGGCTGGCAAGTTGACTAGTGGGGATTCACTTTGCCACATTTTCATTAACGTTCTGTTTCATTTTGTTTTTGTTTTTGGTTTTTTTTTTTAACTGAGCTCCAGCAAGAACCCACCGGAAACCACCCAATAAGCCACAAGTCATTTGCCTGGGCGTACGAGATAATCTGTAGGGTCCATCCGTTAGCCATGCCACGATTTCCTTGACTACTGTGCGATAGAGTTGCCAGACTTGTTCAAAAGAAATATCATGCAATACACAAGTGCTTTGAAACCATTGTCAAAACTAGTCTGCTCCGCATACAAGCAGAATATAATAGTTACAAACAAAAAATAAATTGTTTTCCATTAAAACATTTTCAAATATGCGATGGATACAATATGTTGCAACTGTTTACAAGAAATTCTGGTATACCTGTTTTGTCAGCCTTAAATTGTTGCAATCCGCAATCCAAGTCGTGTACTTATATAATTGAAACGCAAATAAACAACAATACATTTAATAAGTTTAAATAAAATAGTTGTATACAAGTGCAATACTACATTCATACATGTGAGCTGTTACACTTACCAAGTAAATTACAAATTTGACACATTTATCTCTCAGGGCTCCAGACCAAAACCATCATAATAATAAACTTTTCTACAAGTGTTATATTGCATGGTAAATAATTACTTAAGCCAAACAGATTGAAGATGGCAAAAATACCGAATTGGATTGTTTTGTAATTACCTGAAGGCAATTTGGGAACCGCAGCAGCATAATGGCTTTATTAGATCCAAGCTCTGGGGACTTTGGCCCAGACGGGCCAGTGCCAATAATAATTGAATAATAATTTGAGCAATTTGATTTCATTACATTTACTGGCAGCCACAAAAGGACTGCAGCACGCTGCGGCAAAGGACAATATGATTTGCGGTCAGGGGAGGCAGCATCAGCATCAGCAGCAACAGCAGCAGCAGCAGCAGCAGCAAGAAGGTGGCGACAATGAAAAAGCCATAAGCCAAATTAACAATTAAAGCAAGCCAGAGAGGAGGCGTGAACGAGCAGAAGGCTGCCTAGCCAAGGCCTCCTTGGAGAAACCCAAGTCAAATAAACAAACAAACTTGGCGCTGGCTGAACTTGGCCAAAAGACGCACCAACATTAACAACAGCAGCAGCAGCAGCCACAGCAACAGCAACAACAATGCGTTGCTTAAAGTGGTTGGTAAACAAACAGAACACAAAGGGAAGCCGTAAAAGATGTGGACTATATGACCAGAACAATGAGGCAGCGGCAGCTGTGACAACAGGCAACAACAACAGGCCAAATCAACATATTGCCGACCACTTGTCCCACAACATTTTTTATTGCCTTCTGTCCTAAAGAGTGCAACGCATAGAAGAGGACGTCTCCGCCCCAATAAAGTCTATATATTCCTGATCAGTCTAAGCAGACGAGCCAATGTAGCCAGTTCTGTCCGTCCGGCTGTGTGTTTTATTCAGTGTTAAAGTTATCGTGAATGGATCCGCCTATTGTTACAGGCAGAACATATGTTTCAATCTGCCGGGTCGAACCACTATTTTAAATGACTCGTAACTCTGTTATTTTTATATATGAACAGAATCTTATCAACATCTGACTATTATATCATTATTATTACCTACGAAGAACCGTTCGAAAGATGAGTTAGCTTTAGGTAACTTTTGTGCTCTTCAGTTAATCGTGATGACATTCAGGAAATACGATATTAACTATTCTCCCAACATATCTGTAGCAATGTATCAAATCGGATTAGTATACTATGGCTCCAACTGGAACAATCAATCAGAAATTAAGCTTTCTCATACGAGGATTTCTTGCTGCATGCCTACCAGGGTATTTAATTTTCGGCTCGTCATAGTTGGCCGCACTTCAAGTTTTTTGG